AAGGAATATACCTTTAGGGTTTAGGGTTTAGGGTTTAGGGTTTAGGATTTAGGGTTTAGGAGTATATACCTTAAATTATAGGGGTCTTAAAGGGATCCATAAGGGTTTAGGGTTTAGGGTTTAGGAATATTTACCTTAAACTATAGGGGCCTTAAAGGGATCCATAAGGGTTTAAGGTTTAGGGTTTAGGATTTAGGAATATATACCTTAAATTATAGGGGCCTTAAAGGGATCCATAAGGGTTTAGGGTTTAGGAATATATACCTTAAATTAGAGGGGCCTTAATATTATGATTTAAGGTATATTCCATAATAAAGGGGTATTGGGTTCGCTGGGAATATAGTACCCTAACTAGTAGGATCCTCATTATAAGGACCCCAAAATAAGGTACCCCTTGTTTTCGGAAACGTCCATATGGTCATGTCCTATACGGTTATCCAGGCGCCTAAATAATTAGAATACAGTTTTGGGGCCCATGATACTATAACCCCCCCCCAAATAATATAGGGAAGTATTAAGGCCCCTATATTACCCAAAACCCTAAACCCTACACCCTAAACCCCTATATTACCAAAAACCCTAAACCCGAATCCCTTACTAAAGCCCTATGAGCCCTGGGCCTTAAACAAGAAAACCCAAGACCCCTTAAGTAAGGAATATACCTTAAACCATAATATTAGGGGCCCCTATAATTTAAGGTCTATTCCTTAATTAAGGGGTATACCTTAAATCCTAATATTAAGGCCCCTATACTTTAAGGTATATTCCTTAATTGAGGGGTATTCGGTTCTCTGGGAAGCCCCGAAAACTCTGAGCTAAGCGGCATAACAATCTCAAGGTAGCAGAGCTCCTCGAAATCGATCTCTCCATTCCCATCCTTCGAGATTGCTTGGACACTAGGGTTTAGCGTCTCGGGGTTTGGGGCTTTAGGGGTTTAGAAATGTTTTTGTTCTGGCTTGGGGTTTCAGGTCTTCGCTTTTGAGGCTTAGGGGCTCTAAACGAGTTTTGGGCTAAGGGTTCTTATTGTTTAACTAGATATATTCAGGCTTTGCAAACCCTTAACTTCTGTAGTCGTTTGGACCTTACATATGTGATCTTGGCCTGCGAGTGTTGTGGAGTCCTGAGGCTAAGTTTGTACTCGCATTGCCCCTGCTTCTGTTTGGGAATTTGGCTTTAGTGTTCAGGGTGTAGGGTGCGTCAATGGAAAATAAACGTTTAACACTCCAGCAGAATCCTAGAACCCGAAACCCTACACCTAATCCATTTGAACAAGGAGCTTGCCTAAACCCCAAATGACCACCCCAGATCTCTCGGCTGCCGAATTGCCAGTCATGATCTCTGGAGTATGGGAAGTCCGTTTCGCACGACAGCCAGTTCTGAAACCGACATGGCGTTTTGTCCCAGGGTTCCGGCATAAAAATCATGAACAGCAACCTCCAAGAACAGTTTTACATGTATCCGGCCCCGATAATAGATCTAGAGGTAATCTGAAAGTTCAATAGGCACCCTAAACCCTAAACCGTTCCAAGCATTCTGAATAGTTGAATAGGAACCCTAAGCCCTACATCGTTTGGAAGCGTTCTGAATTTTGAATAGGAGCCCTAGGCCCGTAACCCCTAAGCCGTTCTCCTCTCGGACAAGCCGTCTTGGTGCTGCGTCGGCTGGAGTTGAAACTAAGCCCAGAGTTGAAACCACAACCTTAAAAGGGTGACACGATCTAGGGTTTAGGGTTTAGGGCTTCGAATATTCAACCCTTAAACTCAAACCCTAGGGTTTAGGGCTTGGAATATTCAACCCTTAACCTCAGACCCTAATAATTAAGCCTAAAACCCAAATAGACCCAAAGCCTCTGATATGTTACACTCGGGGAGGGCGGTCAGGTATTCGTGTTCGGGAATCAAGGTTTGGGGTTGAGGTGTTGGGGTTCAGGAAGTTAGGGTGTAGGGTTCAGGTTTGTACTCTATTGCTGTCAAGGCTCAGAATCGATCTCCCGAACGATTGCATCGACTTGCTTCTTTGTCAATGTCTTGCCGAGTTTGGCGAACAAGTCACCTGCAGATCTGCAAAACGTTCTCGTCATGAGCCTTTAACTGGGTAAAGCCACTTTTGGAAACCACAACCACAAGGGATACTGGCAGTTATACAGCGGAGCGGAGCTTCAATATTCCTGCGCTACCAGTGCCACAATTGCTGTGTGCACGGGCCCAACCCAAGCTACAGTTCCGAGCGTAATAATGATAAACTAGCAGCCACGACAATACATGCAATAGCCTTTTGCTACTGGCAATGCAACAAACAGCGTAACCCCAACAATTTGCACTCTTCAAACGCTTTTGGAACCCTAGTAAGCGCTACACTCCTCAAGACCCTAAACACCCCAAAACCTACGCCTAAAACTGCAGCAACCTGAAACGCATAAACCCGAAGAAGCGCCGCAGCAGCCTCTTGACTTCCCAGAGACTCCAATATCCCTTAATTAAGGAATATACCTTAAATTATAGTAGGATCCCTAATATGATTTAAGGTATATTCCTTCATTAAGGGGTATTTACTGGAGCCTCTTGACTTGATTGGGCCCTTCAGCCCCCAGGAGAGGACCTAGGAGTCTCGGAAGTAGGATCGTGATGCTACGAAGCCAGATACTGCCGCAAATTTATGGAACTTTCATGATGAAGGTGCAGTGGCCCGACCAAAGCCTTACATGCAAATCAGGGTGTGTAGGGTTTAGAGTTTCCATCCGTGGAGGTCTTCTGGGAGAAAATAGCCCACCACAGTGCTCTGATACCCCCTAAACCGGGTTTAGGGTTTTGGGTTTAGGGTTTAAGGTTAACCCTAAACCCTAAACCCTAAATAAACCATAAGCCTTGAACCGTGAACACTTAGTTCAGTGGCTGGGACCGGGCTCGCCGTCTCAACGATCCAAGGTTTCATGCTATGGCAGGTTTTTTGCCTCCTACTTAGCAAAGGTTTAGGGTTTAGGGTTTAGGGTTTAGGGTTCAGGGTTTGGCAGGTTAGGGGTTTAGGGTTTGGGGTTCAGGGGTTTATGTGTGTCTGTCTTCTGCCTAGCGCTTGCTGTGGATAACGGTGTTCTGTGTATACGTGTATGCATCGCTGTATATCTCTATAGCTCTATGCTCTATATCTCTCTATCTATGTCTGTCTGTGCGTGCAAATGTAAGTATGCATGTGTCAGCTCCCCCTTTCTTTTGCTGCCAACCGTGTTTACATGCTTGCGTCGAGCAATAGCTGTTATTCCTACATGCGCAGGCATGATGTATTTATCTATCAGGATCCTTATTATAAGTATAGTGTACTATATCCCAACACCCTACTCTAATTATTAATGCCCCTACAGTATGTGGCTTTCTCTTCTTGCTGCAATGTGGCGAAGCTCATCTTTCCCGATGGATCCGTCGCCGCTCGTGTCGAACTCCAGGAAGGCTTTCTCCAAAGCTTCGAGCGTCTCCTGCTCACTTAGGTTTTAGGGTATAGTTCTGTAAGGGTGCTGGTGCGGGGTTTATGGGGCTTGAGGTTTTAGGGCTCTAAGTCTCTAAGTGTTGGGGTTGGGATTCGGGGTTTAAGGGTGCTTCTCGTTTTCTCGGTGCTTTAGGGCTTCCGGACGGGAGTCTGGCTTGGGCTTCGTAGGTTTTCAAGATTCTGGTTTACCTTAAGAACCCAAAACCTACCTTTTTTGTAGGGCCCTATAAACCCCATATTAGGGTTTATAATAAGAACCTACAGAAAAGGGGTTTTGGGTTCTGAAGGTAGTACTGCTTGAGTTTGGAATGTTTCGGGCTACAGAGCATAGATCTCGGATTCCTGGGTCAGGATTTACGGGTTCAGGGTTCAGGGTTTACGGGTTCGGATGTAGGAATAACCTTGGGCTTTGAGGTTTTGGCGCGACCCTCACAAGGCTACCTGCAGACTCGTCCAGTAGGGCCGGGGCTTTGGGTCTAGGGTTTTGGTCTGGCTTACAGCTGCAAAGCTTGCCTGATCCGAATGCCAGCTAAGCCCTGGCGCTTGAACACTTAACCCTAAACCCTAAACCCCAAACCCTAAACCCTAAACCCTAAACAATCCCTTTCATCCACCACCCTGCGCCCCGAGAAGAGGCCCTGAGCTCTCTTGAAACCACAGCACAGCGCGCAAGGCCTGGTCGAAGTAATCTTTGATGTCTATCTCGCCGATGGTCATGCTGGGAGCGCCAGTTGGTGAAAGCCCAGTTTTGGGAGCACCGACTAGGGCTCGAAAGCCTGCACCCCTTGCTGGATATCTGAGGTACTGTGACTTCTACATGCCAGGCAACCATGCAAGCAAGATTAGTCATGATTGATCTTTGAAACCTGACATTCGATCCGCCAGCAACTTGGCACTAGCTCCAGTCAGTAGCACTGCGCTGTAAACCGCAATCTGGCAAACTTCTACTACTATCTGTCCCATAGCTGTTGTGCTTGATGAGCTCGGGGCCCCAGAATATACAGAAATTTGCTTCCCTCGGGGCTGCGCAGCCTCAGCGAATTCCACCTTGAGCCACGACAGCAGTTGCCGCCACACCGCTTAACCCTGCTGATAGAACTTCTCTCACCAACCCCTAAACTCTAAACGCTTTCGATTGAACTTCGCTCGACTATTCGTGGGCCTGCAGTCGAGCAAGGGCTTAAAGATTGAAGGCCTGGATGCTTGCGGCTACAGTAGCCAAAAGAAAAAAGGGGCCGGAATGATTATAATCGGGTTCTGGGGTATCTTGAAGCCACTATCGTTGTATAAGCAAGGCACCCTAACGAACAATGTTGGCAATTTTTCACGCTTCTCGACTAGCCACTGGAAACTTCCTGCACTGATTCGCTGCTCCTGCAATGACAAAGATGCGAATGTGCCCCTCCGAAGTATGTTTCCTGATGTTTTGGCTGTCCAGATCAAGGTGCAGGGTTTAGAGAGTTTCTTGGGTTAAGGGCTGTGCAACGGATGGAATATTTCTGTGGGCCAGGAGCATATACACTGGCAGGAATCCTAAACCCTAAACCCCGAAACCCGAAACCCTAAACCCAGTTGCAAGTTATGACCACTTAAACTCTCGCGCAAGTGACAGGCCCTCTGTTCCGTCACACCTGTAAGGTTAGGGTTTAGGGTTAGGGTTTAGATTTTAGGGTTTAGGGGTTTGGGTTTAGGGTTTAGGGTTTTTTTCCCACCCGCCCAGCTGACAAGGGTTTAGGGTTTAGGGTTTAGGGTTTAGGGTAAGGCCAAGCACAACTGCCCCTTCACCTTGAAAAGAACCCATACCCTAATACCTGAGTTCATGATCGGCACGAGCAAGGCCCGCTACCTGTCCGAGGCTCAACTTCATGTAGGGGCCTTAATAATTAGAATAAGGTTTTGGGGTCTATTAATTAAAATAAGGGGCCCCCAAAATGGTATAGGTAATTTTTAAGGCCCCTATAGTGCAACTTAGACTTAGACTTGTTGTCCGACTCGAAATTGCGCAATGGGCATCAGGGGAGATGCACATCTCAGCCAGTGGACAGCCTTTTTCAACCGCCTCTGGCATTCATTCTTAAGTCTCTCGCCGTCCCGCAACGTCCGATCGTGCACGTGCGGCGGCTTGGATAATCACCTTCTGCAACCTAGCACAGCAAGACTCTAAAGACCCCCTCCGACTGGATAAAGTGGGAGTGCATGGCTGGTAGAGATCTTGAGCACACCTACTCGTATCTCCCTGTGGTAGACCCGTGAGATTCTATCTGCCCAGTATCCCCCTTAATCCTGAAGCTTGAACTCCAAACCCTCTAAGCCGAAACGCTAAAGTGGCCAGTGGAGCAGTTTCTTGTCCTGGTGCCCATTGGACATTCCCCTGCATGGCAAGCCCAGACCTACCACCGAAACCCTAAACCCTCGGCTCTAATGGTATAACTACCCATAGGCCCCATAGTAGTTCCTTTTTGTGGTTCATATTTAGAATCCTATAAGGTAATCCCAAAACGGAACTACTATGGGGCCTATGGGTAACAGTACCCCTTTAAGTCTTTTCTTTGTTCTACTACAAGGCACTCAAAGACTCCAATGTAACTATGAACCATGAGGGCCCCTCTATGCTTCGTCAAGGTGACTATGCATAACCACAGCTGCTGCGCTCCCGTGTTCGTGCTTTTGCAACTACCCAGAAGGAAACGGTCCGTATGCGTATGGTACATATATAGAGTACACCGCATAAATAAATAAAGAAATATATATATATATATATATATACACATGTATATATATATATATATATTTATGTAGGTAATGTAGGTATGTATGCATGCATTTGTTGAAATTTCTGATTGATTTAGCTATTCATGCAGCATGTGAAAACTGGTATTGGAGCCTCGTTTTGGGGAGACCAGTTGACAGCGCGTAGCGTAATAGCTTAACCCCTAAACCCTAAACCTTAAGCTCTTTTAGTTTCATACATTGGACTTTTCGTCGAGACGGGAGTACCTGGGAGCCTGCGCCTCGATCCTACACCCGAAGAAGTCGTAAGGCGCTCGGCCTTAGGGTTTGGGGTTTAGGG